TGTTTGTTAACAACACTAAATTATGGCATCGTCCAATTTTAGTTCCTTTGTCTGTACTACTTGCTATTACTTGCATCCAGATTCACTTAGATTTAATCAGTTAATATTATAAAACAGTATGATGCCTCATGTAGTGGTTTTTAATGCCTAATCATCAATATTTCCGGTTTTACATTTCGTCAGAAATGCATAAAATATACTAAGTAACATTAACTGAAGAAAGTGTAGTTAGTTGGGTTAGCAAAAAGACGTGCATGATGTTAAAATAATGACGGAAAGCATACAACAACTATAATTAATGAAGGACATGTAGAAGGGAAAATTAAAATAATTTAATACATAAATAACAAAAAAAAAAAAAAAAGTTGGAAAAAAAGCATACACAATCAAAAGGATCAAAAATATCACATTTTGAGCAGAAATAATAAAAACACCTACTGCCCTATTATTCGCAGCCACTTGCTGCTACAACCACCTGCTGCATAACCACTTGCTACTGTAACCATAACTGATATGTTCACTTTTCAAAAATCTTCATTGATCATTTCAATTTTATGAAGCGAAAATTTGACAGCACATTACGAGATTTTATGTCAATGAATTTATGCTACTGGATTAAGAGACAAAAAGAAAATCATTGCAATTAAAATGAACAATTAATGTCAAACAAAGAAAAAAAAAATAAATAAAAATCATTTGTATCTAACAGTAATTAAATTTCAAAAAAAAAAAAGTGATCAAATATATTATACTTGCATGTGACAGATATAATCATAACTTTGCAAATGAATTTAATTACTACTTTTTTTTGGTTTCTAAAATTGAACCATATAATAATGTCATCAATAAATAATATTATTCTATCCTGCAATTATAACCTAAAATTGCATGTTTCATTTTTTTTTCTTGTCCGGTTATATTTCTATTATTTTTTTCCAATTGATTTTACACATCATCCTTATAGTTGTCAAACTTTAAAATGAAATTATTAAATAAAAAATGATATGGAAAAGACAGAAGAAATGAGAGAACGAAAGAGTGCGAGTAATAAATAATAAAATTTTTCTACTGAATTTATTAGCTTAAACATTAATAGTAAATTGAAATTAGAGAATAACAGTTAGCATCTAATAAATTCATTGCATTTAAAATATAGTGATAATTGATAAGGTATTATTCTGCTTTTATTGCTTATCATATGTATTTCAAATGAATAAATTTTTGAAATGTCCGACAATGATAGATTTATTATTGTTTGTAATACCAAATTATAAAGTGATAAAAATTAATATTATGCTTTTAATAAAAAATCTTCCATACATTTGCTTATAATACTAATTATGTTAATAAATTGTACAATTACAAATTGATAAAAATATTTAATTAAGAAAACAATAATTTTTATTCGTTTTTTCAAATAAATTATGTATAATTCTATTATGCAGTCGCAATCCTTTCTCTAATAAAATTTTTCTTATTTCAAATTTTCTCAAAATTCGAAAACTTTTATACTTTAATTGCTCAGTTTTCTTCTTTCTTTTTTTTTTATTGCTTAGAATCAATAAAAATGATTAGTGTTCCTTTCATACATCGTTTGATTACTTTTTTTTTTTCTTTTTTAAAATCTTTTCTGATATTTTCTTATATCTGTTTCGTTCGCTTACTAAGAACACAAACACAATAATGGAATAACTTCCTTATTTTCACCGATAAATTGATGGTAATTCAACTGTTTAAGCAAAAAATAGTATTAATTTATATTTTGCATTTCAGATCAAAAAAAAATATATTTTAGAAGTAATCAAAAATTTAACATTGATTGTGAATTGGTGGAAAAAATAAATTTTATTTTAAATTTATTAAGTCTACGGATTAAGTCAAAGAACTGCAATGAGGGTTACAAGAAAAATTATCTTTGTTTACTATTATTCTTTTTTAATCATTTGTGATTTTTTTTTGTGTTTTTTTTTATTTTTTACTTGACAAATTTAATTAATAAAAGACTAGTAAATACTATAAATGATGTGTAATTAAAAAATGAAATTTAAAAAAGGAAGAATAAAATACATAACTCGTTTAATGCTTATTTTAATAGTGTAATTCTCAGATTATCACTACGTTATGCATATAATTTACTAACTTAATTAATTGAAATAAAGCCTTTAATATCATTAATGATTTTTCTTTTCTATTTTTCAAATGTTTACTTTAAGATGCAATTATGTTTAATATTAGGTAATATATTACTACATGGAACATATGAGAAGTTGAGATGATCCTTTATAAAATTATTGATTGAAAAATTCATGAAAAATGATATTAATAGATGAAAGTTTTCTTTATAAAATCAAGATTTTTAAAATGAGATAATTTTAACAACAAAAAAAGGCAGATCAAAATTACTAAATCAGTATTACTTGCAAAAAAAAAAAAAAAAAAAAAAATTAAAAATATTAAGTCAATGTTACTTACAAGGGCTCTAATGCAGATTTTATATCTTTATTCTTTTTATCATATAATAATTCTTTTCTTTAAATATTTTGTGTTATTTTAATAAACAGTACAATCTTTATGATATATTTTACATTATGGATGAAGAGAAGAGTAAATTTTGGTATTTTAAAGCAAATATTAAATAGTAATATCAATATTACTATTTAATAGATCAAATCTATTTGATTATTTTTCTATTTCTCTTTTTTTTTGTCTTTCATAATAAACAATTGCAATATTTTTAATAATTTTTTTTTTTTTTTTTTGATGAAAATTACTACAAAATATAAATAAGCAGTACTAGTGATGTCTATTCGTGTCTATTCGTAATAAACAACATTTGAGCAAATATTACAAATGCTACAACTATCAAAAAAAGAAAAAAAAATAGCAAAAATAATTTACAATATTTTTGTTATTGTCATATATTATCTCATTCAATTTATAAGTTAGATGTGCTTTAGTGATTTTTTTTTATTTTAATTTAGAACATCTAAACTTAGCTAATAACAAAACATATAATAGTGTTTTCTGGATATAATCAAAGCTAACAAGGCATTACTTTTTTGTCAGCTGTTTGTTGAAACGATTAAAACAAAGATCAATTTGATGAAAATTGAAATATTTGTATTTGCAATGATGATTCATTTTAGAAAAATGATTCTTTAAAATAGTTTACACATTAACTTTTTATGTTTAAGAGTTTTTCAGCATTAAAAGACAAAATAAATTTTCATTTTCTTCGTTCATTTAACCAGTTTAAAATTAAAATTACAATTATTTGATATTGTTAATCGAAAACATTATGATACCAATTTGTTGTAAACGTATATAAAAATACATCCTAACAGTACTAACCAATTATTCGGTTTAATTAATTCAACTGACAATTTAATGGCAGCTATTCGTAGTCAAAACTAATTTTTTCTTGAAATTTGTTTTTTCTCCAAAAATTTTTGAAATGTCATTTTATTGTAAAATAATTTTTGCTGCACCAATGCATCTTTTTTTTATAAAAAAAATTGCAAGGCTATGCAAATAAACATATTAATTCATTATTATTAATCAGTAATTTTCATCATTTCTCGAGAATATCGCAGCAAATTTCGTTGATAATATTCTTGTTCTTGATAATAAATTTCCCTGATAAATTTTACTAACAAATTTAACATCGATAAATATTTTTTTAAAAAACTTTCCTAATGTCAACTTTTATAAGATTGAAGGACAAATGGAAGTAAAAATTATTGAAGGACAAATAAAAGTAAAAAAAAGCGCGCCACATTTAAGATGCTTACAACAAATTGCTACCATATTTTATCGTTCAATTCTTCAACAAAATATTCTTTTCGTTCAGTATGCAGTAGGATTACCTTTTATTTTTAAAGTTTTAAGTAACTGATCGAAACTTAGCGCAAATATTCATTGCAAAATATTAAAAATAAAACTAATTAAATCCTAACAATAATGGTTATAAAAAGTGTTTATATGTCTGATATTGAAGCATCAATAACATTTGCATTTCATTATGTGAAAATATCAGCTGATTTGACCAATTTTCATTATTAATTAATTCTCTTTTGTTAATCATTAATTAATTCTGTCCTGATATATCCATTTTTTAACTGGCAAATATTGTTTAAGATTAAATATTACTTGATTAGGAATCTATTTTTTTTTTTTTTTTTTTTTTGCAAATAATTCGCAATCAGACATAGAATTTATGTTAATAGCAATAAGATGATAAAAGATATGCTAATAAACAAAACGACAATTTTCTGAAATTTTTTTTTGAAAATTTTTTTCGGCAAAAAATAATAAGAAAACAAACCGAAAAAGCTATCCTTCATCTCTTCAAAAATAATACAACGATGCATCACATGACTTATATATAAAAGAAGGATTGTTGGTGATATTATTAAGTCATTAAATTTTAAACATTAATTTTTAGACTTTTGATTTTTAGTCTTTTTCAAAAGTTTTACCTTCTATTATGCAACAAATTTGCGCTCACGAAAATATCGCAGTATCATTCTATCATTCCGCATTCCGCCCATAATGCTATTGCGCAGTGCAATGTGTTATTTCTTCCAATTTTTTATATGAATGAGTGTGTATATTTGTTTGTGTGCATGCAATAAACAATTGATAAATTCACTGAAATTAATCAATTTTTAGAAATAATTGCAGAATGATAATTTACAAATTATTTTCGATTTATAATTTAAAAAGTGTTATTTTATAATAATTTAGCAAATAATAATGGTGTAGTTATTCATTAAATATTTATGACAAAAATATTTTAGCTAAATATTTTAGTAAAGTACACTAAGCTGTTTACAAATTAAAATTTGATTTTTTTTTTCGTTTTTTTTCTCTTTCCCACTATAATAGTCGCTATTTTCATATCATGACCATATGTCTGCTACTCTCCTCATTTTCCTATCTCTTTTTTCGTTTAGACCAACTGTGTAAACAAAATAAGCAACGATTTGATGATGTCAACGATGTCAATAAAAGAAGGATTGTTGGTGATATTATCATTATTTTTATTTGATACGACAGCATTGATTCATCGACGAGAAATTCCTCATATGGAATCAAAAGGACAAATGCAGCATGGCCAAGTTTTATTGGGAGGATGGCAAGAACGTAGTCCAGAAGATAACGAAATACTGGTTATAAATTTTTTTTTTTTTTAATTTCTTTCCTTAAGTAATATATAAGTCAGTCATCTCGTTTACATTATCATGCGTCTAATACGAATAATGAAAAGCGTGTAAATTTGTGTATAAAAAAGTATGGACTAATATATTTTTTACTGATTTTATTAATTGAAATGAATGGAAAGGTATAAGTTAGAAATAGGAATTATTTAATAGATTTAGATTTTAATGTGTTGAGTTACCTGTAGAATGGAAATTTTTAGTCATTTTTTCTGTTCATGTACTGCTATTGATTTATAAAGATTGCTATTTGCAGGAGCTATTGCCAAGTGTTTTAACTAAAGTAAATCAACAATCAAACGATGAGTACCATTTGATGCCAATCAAATTGCTAAAAGTTTCATCTCAAGTTGTCGCCGGTGTGAAATATAAGATGGAAGTACAGGTTGCTCGATCAGAATGCAAAAAAGTATGCTTCTAGTGGTAATTTCGGAATTTATAATATTCTTCAGTTTTCCTGAATTCTAATGAGAAATGACTGAAGGTGACATTTTGCCATAGGAAAATAGAGAAAGTGATGAGGAAAAAGGAGAAGCAAAAAAGAAGAACAATTTCTTTGAAAACAAAGTAATGAAACTTGAAATATTCATTCAGAATACTTTGCATGTCTCTTGAAAAGTTAAATTTTCAGAGTGCAAGTGAGCAAGTTAACTTGAAAACATGTAAAAAATTGGAAGGACACCCGGATCAGGTTTGTTGCATGTAATTTCAAGATAAAGTGAAAATGTTGACATTGAAATAATTTGATTGTAAGTAACAGTGGATTCAGAAATGAACTAATCGATCTGAATTAGATGAATCTAATTTTAATGATATTTTTTCTCTAATGCTTTATGCTTTGGGCTTTCACTATGTAAAATTGAAAGAGAAGAAATATATTCGAACGCTGTGAAAATTATGAATCATAGCATGGCAGAGTAGAACATTCTTAGATCAGTGTTCTCATTCAAACGTCTGATGACAATGGTTTGAAATACGAACTTGAAATGAAAAAAAAAAAACCATTTGAAAGTAAAATTTACCTTTGAGAATGTAAGCACTTGCCGAAAGTACTTATGTGAGACTTGCATAAGGCATTAAGTTATTCCTTTTAATTATTTTGAGTATAGTAGATTTTGCAATGGATCATTTATTGCAAAACATATATTTAGCATTTATTTTACATTTTAATTATGTATTAACTATTTTTCTAATCTTTTTCAGGTGATGACATTGGAGGTATGGGAGAAACCATGGGAAGATTTTTTGCAGGTGAATATTTTGGAGACAAAGGTACTCTCGTCAGTATGATTGTCTCTGTGATTATCAGTCCTATTTCATACTATTATTTTCAGTGCTTTTTAGCACTTTTCGATTTAGTGTTTACGCCTTTTTTTTTCGCTGCATTTTGTAATTTTATAAAAATTAATGTTTTAATTGGTGCATAAATATTTGGATTTGGTAATGCTAGTATGCTGCATATCAATTGATTATTTTAAGACACTTTAGATTACCTGAGACTCTCAGAAAGAATAAATTTATACTTGTTTTTCTTATCAATTGAGTCATTTAACTAAGTGCATTCCATTTTTTTAAAAGATGAATAAACTTGAGAAAATGAAAGCTGTTTAATAATTTGCAATAAATAATAAATTGAATATTTTCTATTATTTACATAATGCCAAATTGTAGTTTTTACATGGCATGCGTGGTTCACTTTTAGCTATCGTAGTTTTAGCAATTACTTGCCCCTCTAGAACCTAGAATTTTAGATACGAATAATTGCAGAAGATGGATAATACTTGATCAAACAACTATTATCGATTGCTTTATGTAAATGGGTAGCAATTAAACCATAATAGATGTTAATTTTCTCTTTATTAGAGATAACCTACATGAACAACCTTCCTACAAATAACAAAGAAGTATTGATAAAGTCAGTCTCGTTTGATCAATAAATTTGTTTTCATTGATCATTGAATTGTTTATGAGACAGCTATAAATGATACGCCAAATATTTTTGCATTATTTAATGAAAAAAATTACGAAATCGAAAATTTTCAGAAGAAAAAAATTTTTTTTTTTGACGATTTTGAAATATTTTAAAATAATTGATTCTTTTCAGAGGAAGAAAGACTCAGAAAATTGCATAGAATAATGCAAATATGTTTGTAATACAAATAAGTAACAAAATAACTTTTGTAGAAAGTTTCCTATTAAAATTATTGTTGAGTTTTGATCTGAAAATATTGTAAAATGTCATTGCAAGCATGAATCTAATCTAAGACTTAAGATCAATTTAATTAATATGACCAAATTTACTACCATGTAGGTGAAGAAAATTTTTGTTACAGAAGAATTTTATATCAAAAAGCTTCTCCCCTTCTTTTTTTCTTTATCACTTTCTAACTAACATTTGTTTTTTCAGTGACAGCCATTAAGCAGTTCGTGAATTTGAAATTTTAAATATTAAGTTTTAATTTATACTCTGTAGATTAGACCTATTAGAAGAAAATAAATAAATAGTATAAATTAAAAAATCTGTTGGTAAAACTAATAAATATTATATGGGAGTTGATGATTTAATACCGATATTATGTCAAAAATGCTTATTGTTTGCACTCTTATTTTCAATTTTGATTTAATTTTAAAAATTAAAAAATAATTTTTTTTAAATTAAAGGAAAATATACTTTTATTTGCAGTCTTAATTCAATTTCTAATCTATTAAAAATTTGATAAACAAACGGACAAATTTTCATTTAACATTTCAGACTATCTTGGTAGAATTTATAAGTTTCAATTAAAATCATTTACAAAAGTGATGGCATGTCCAGCGATAATGACATTTTTTTAATTTTCTTTTTTAATGTCTTTTGTCTAATAGGCTGCTTATTCTATCAAATCAGTTTATCATTTGGAGAATTTCATTCACAATGTCACATTTTTTGCAAATATTTCTTTCATCTTTGCAATTTGAAGAATCGATATCATAGTATATTGAATCTGTTATCACTTATTAGCTGTCTGTTATCATTTCTTGATTAGATAAGTAGCGAAATTGATGCCTTTTAGATAAAAAAGAAGGAAACGATAGTTTAGGAATACATAAAAATGGGAAAAATGATAATCAGTTAGGGAGTCTTTTGATTATTTCTTCTTAAATTTAATAAATTCATTTCATTTCAATTACCATTGGATTTTGAATTTATTGTTATCAATTAGCATTTATTCATCTTTCTGATAAATTTTAACTTTATGTTTTTATTTTTAACTTTCCATCATCTAAATTTTAGAGTTGAGTAGAGAAAGAGAAAATTTTGATTAAAATGGGCAAAATAAAATCATTTGTATTACTTTAACTTTGATGAATAATTAATTGAGAATTATAAAAATATTTTTTTTTTTGCTTCCTAAATTTGTTTGTTGATCTTATAAATTGATCGTAAAAGATATTTTTTACATTTGAAACTATTTATCTGATTAAACAATATAATTTTCAAGTTTGATCCACTAGTCTTATACACAATCTTACAATCAATTAGTAAATGTTTTTCATTTTTTTTTATATTTTAGAAATTGAAAAGATTAAAGCACAAAAAACAAAATTAAATCGAAATGAAATATACTACCTAATTTATTTACAGTTATGTATACTACGACGTAGTAGAAGATAAACTTAAATTCAGATTTCTGTCTCTAATTTCCGCAATTGTCAAATATTTACTTAAAAATAGAACATTAAGATTAAATTCTTTTGTCTGTTACTTAAATGACAAATAAATGCTTTCTGAAAATAATTTCTATTGTTGAATTACTTTTTTGAATTTATGTAATTATGCGCACATTAGATATATGTTATATAAATAAATGCAATAGATGTGTCGCATGCAAATTTTATTTTTATTTAAACAATTATTTTGAAATTATTGACATTATTTCATCTTACGATGAAGCATAGGTATTAGTGTTGTCAAACAAGAAATGGTCAATAATCCGATATTAGAAGATTTGCCGGAATTGAAGCAACTTTATCGTCGTGAAATAGCATTTCCAGCATGTCGCGGTGGTAATTTGCTGAGAATACCTCGATATAATAAGGTAACACTTATATATTATTATTTATTTCTCATATTTGCTAATAAAAATGAAAAAAAAAAAGTTATTTTAAAGAATGGATGTAAGCATAATATATATTATTATTTTATTTCGTACATTAATCTTTCTATTTTCATTTATAATTTTTAAGAAAAGCATAGCAATTTTTTTCCATTTTCTGATACATGATTAGTTTTTTATCTTTTGCAAATTTAACATTCCTTCTAAAAGAAAATTCTTTATTTGCTTTTCGTTAGTTTAAAATTTCGTGGAATTAATCAATGACCTTAAAAATTTAGTGAAGTTAATCGATGACCCTTAATAATTTAGTGAGACTAATCGATGATCTACCTTGCTAACAAAAAGCAATGAAAAAATAAACTCAAGAAAAATGCAAATAGCAAAAAAAAGTATGCAAAAAGCAAAGCGAACAAATGGCATGCAAAGTGCATAAATTTTAGAATGAAATAATAAGATAAATTATGAAGAAAAAATGCATGCAAAATACGTAAATAATAAGGAAAAAGGCATGCAATATCAATAACAGTAATATAAAAATAAATAAATTTGATGAAAAAAACATGCAAGATAAGTTGAAATAATAAAATATAATAAAAAATGCGCTGCACAGTGAGCAAAAAAACATGGAAAACAAAGCAGGTCAAAGTTCAAAAGGCCATGTAATATTGATAACAACGGTAGAATAATCAGCAAATTAGATAAACAGGCATGTAAAATAAAATTACTCAAAGTAAGGAAGGCATTAGCAAAGTGAGCAAAACAACATGCAAAATAAAATGAGTTAGATTTAAAGAAAAAAACATGTAATATTAGAAATAATAATGGAATAAATAGTAAAGCAAGTCAGAAATCATGTATAATAAAGTAAGTTAGTCAAATTAAGTAAAAAGCATGCAGTACTAGTAATGACAATAGAAAAATAAGTGAAGTGATAAAAAGACATGCAAAATAGGTGAATTAAATTAATAACAAGGCATGCAATATCAGTATAACGATGAAATAATTAGTAAAGTAAGTGAAAGGACATGCAAAACAAAATAAGTTAAACGGTGAAGTAATAAAAGGGCATGCAGAAAAAGTAAAAAAACATGCAATATCAGTAAGAACAATGGAAAGTAAGTAAAACAGCATGCGAAACAAGGTAAGTCATGTTAAGAAAAAGCATGCAATGTCAGTAATAATAATGGAATAATTAGTAGATAAGTAAAACAACATGCAAAATAAAATATGTTTGATTTAGCAATGCCAACAAAAAATATATATGTATATATATTAAAATGACGAAAAAATTTCAATCTGTTCCTATCCTATGGGTAAAATAATTAAATAATGTTTCGAATGACAATTAAAATTTGGTTCAAAAAAATTGGAGAAGCATCCATGATTAAAATCCTTAATATTAGTTTTATAGAATGTAACACAGCACAGAGAGGTACAAAGCATTATTTAAAGTTAAATCTAAGAATATTTTAATTTAATTTGTTAAACTTGTCAATTGTAAATCAGCTCATGATTAAGGAGCAAAGAAGTATCTGCAAATAGCCATAAATGCAAAAATTTCATCAAAATAATAATTCCAAAAAGCTTCTTACTGCAACCATAAAGATCAAAGTATAAAGCATTATTGAAAATTAAGAGATATCATGTCTAAAAAGGAGTAGAGACAGAATTTCACATATCTAAAATGAATCAAATTTAAAGTGTAAATCCACACAAATTGAAATTAATAAATTAATAAAATCCAAGCCAAACATGAAAACAATTTCTAAAAAGCTATAAATGGTTTATAAACCTAAGTAATTTTTTTCTTCAATTCTTTAAACACATCAATTATAAATAAAGCTGTAATTAAGAAATAAATAAGAATCTAGAAAAGTAGCATCAATTAAATTGGATCAAAACCTGATCCTAAAAAGCAGTTAAAAACCAATTAGTAACAATTATTAACCGCAAATAACAAATTGTAATTAAGAAATTAAAAAGAAGTAAGCAGTACTACAAAAAAAAAAAAAATAATTTTTAACTGCTAACTTCTACCTCATAAATAACAAAATCATAAATAATAAAAATGGATTCATCGAAAGAAAAAAAGCAAAGCATGAAAAAATAATTGAAATAACCTTTAAAAAAGTCTAAAATCAAGCTGTAAAAATAAGGGCCAAGCAAACATTCCTGTTCTCCATTAAAAATCAG